GCTCACACCTGTAATCCCAGCACTTTGGCAGTCCAAGGCAGGCAGATCATTTGAGGTCAGGAGTTTGAGACCAGCCTGGCCAACATGGCAAAACCCTGTATCTACTAAAAATACAAAAATTAGCTAAGTGTGGTAGTACACACCTGTAATCCTAGCTACTCAGGAGGCTGAGGCAGGAGAATCACCTCACCCCAGGAGGCAGAGGTTGCAGTGAGCTGAGATTGCACCATTGCACTCCAGCCTGGGTGACAGAGCAAGACTCTGTCTCAAAAAAAATAAAATAACAATTAACTGTGCTTGGTGGCACGTGCCCTGGTCCCAGTTACTCCAGAGGCTGAGGCAAGAGGATCGCTTGAGCCTGGAAGATTGAAGCTACGGCCTTACTGAAGCTACAATAAGCTGTTCGTGCCACTGCACTCCAGCCTGGGCAAGACCCTGTCTCAAAAAAAAAAACAAAAAGAATATGCTGAAATTGTAGAGAAGGGAATAAAAATTACCACCATCTATTAATTATATCAGTGTTTGGGTATATGGTGATGTGAGATCAGGGATGTATAAAGCGACCAAATTCAACTGAGGATTTAAAAAAAAAAAAAAAAAAGCCAATTTTTAAAGGCACAGACAATCCAGACCCCTCCCATTCCCTGGGTGCTGACCTGGACCAAGCCTGAGACGGGAAGTGACTGCTGGGCCCTCAGCCAGTCCAGGCTCCCCAGTGCCCCTTCACTGTATTGTGTAGGTGTATCCAAGTGTGTGGGCAGTGTAAGGAATGTTTAAAAGCCAATTTTGCCTTATGTACTGACTTCAGAACGTTATCTGTAGCACAAGGTAGTCATTTATTGAAAAAAAAATACATATTTGAAAGTTTGACAGCAACTGTGGTGCTGCTGCAGCCAGGTCACTGACAGCTCTAACGGCTCCTTTATTATCTCTCCTGTTTCTGGGCGAACCTCTTAGCCATTCGTTCCTGGTTAACTCGGAAACACATCCAGAGGCTCCATGCAGCTGCCACAGTCATCAAGCACGCGTGGCAGAAGTGGAGAGTAAGTAAGACCCAAGAAGTCGGGGTGGGCAGTGGATCAGTTTTAGGGACCAGATGGACCCAAGTGGGAATGCTGGCTCTGCCACTGTAATGCAGGTGGCCTTGGGCAGGTTGTTCACATGTGAGCCTCATATTCCTTGTGTATGCGGTGGGCACAGTAACACCTACCCTGCAGGGTGGTTATGAAGGTAAAGAGTGGTGTAAACAACTCTGGGAATATACCAAACTCTGGAATGTACACTTTAGAAGACTGGGTTTTATGGCATATCAGTTATATCTCAATGGGCTATTTTTTTGTTTTCAAGTAGCATATGTAAGGCCTAAGCACAGTTGCCTGGGGTGTATAGACTTGTGCCATATGGAACCAGTTTGGTTCAGGGCAGCCAGCTGTTCACAACCAGGTGCCTTCAGTTCACCTTGTTAACATGATTTGTTAAAGATAGTTTTGATTTCCATTTTCTGCTAAGAGGGCTAGATAAATCTAAAGCTATAAAGGGATGTTTGCTTTTTAAGATCAGAATGGCCTACCTTGCTGCTAAAGAACTGGATGGTGTGGAAGAAAAACACTTCTCTCAAGCTCCCTGTTCCTTGAGCACCTCGCCGCTGCAGACAAGGTTCCTGGAGGCAATAATCCGCCTCTGGCCCCTGGGACTGGTCCTGGCCAATACAGCAATGGGTGTAAGCAGCTTTCAGAGGAAATTAGTGGTCTGGGCCTGCCTCCACCTCCCCAGGGGCAGCCCCAGTAGCTACTCTGTCCAGACAGCACAACAAGACCAGGCTGGTGTCACATCCATCCGAGCACTGCCTCAGGTACGTTGTATGTGATGGCCATGACAGCTTTGTTCCTGAGAACAGTAGGACCAAAGCCTACAAGTTCACAGTGGGAGTGGGACTGAGGCTGGGACAAGATCCGTCTCTGGCCGGGCGCGGTGGCTCAAGCCTGTAATCCCAGCACTTTGGGAGGCTGAGACGGGCGGATCACAAGGTCAGGAGATCGAGACCATCCTGGCTAACACGGTGAAACCCCATCTCTACGAAAAAATACAAAAAACCTAGCTGGGCGAGGTGGCGGGCGCCTGTAGTCCCAGCTACTCGAGAGGCTGAGGCAGGAGAATGGCGTAAACCCGGGAGGCGGAGCTTGCAGTGAGCAGAGATCCGGCCACTGCACTCCAGCCTGGGCGACAAAGCAAGACTCCGTCTCAAAAAAAAAAAAAGATCCCTCCCTAACCCTACTGGGTAAACCAGAGGCCTACACGTCCCAACCAACTGCAGGTTTGGATTATTTACTTTGTTATAACTGGGAATCTTCCAGAGCCCTTTATCTTTCTAAAAAGTGCTTCTAATTATTTCAGCATCACTAAATCTTCTCTTAGTCCCATTTCCAAATGCAGTGCTGCGTTTCTAGCAAGCTCCCAGCTGATGCTGATGCTCCATGAACCACACTGAGAACCAAGGCTCTAGATGAGTCAGGAACAGGAGGTGGTTAAAGTTCGGTTTAGGGCCTGGAGTGGTGGCTCACACCTGTAATCTCAGCACTTTGGGAAGCCGAGGCAGGTGGATCACCTGAGGTCGGGAGTTCAAGGCCAGCCTGGCCAACATGGTGAAACCCTGTCTCTACTAAAAATACGAAAATTAGTTGGGTGTAGTGGCCGGCGCCTGTAGTCCCAGCTACTCGGGAAGCTGAGGCATGAGAATTGCTTGAACCTGGGAGGCAGAGATTGCAGTGAGCCAAGATTATGCCACTGCACTCCAGCCTGTCGGACAAGAGTCCGTGTAAAAAAAAAAAAAAAAAAAAAGTTTGACTTAGGGTAATAATAGGTCAGTTACAGAAAAGAGGAAAAATTCATGAGACGGAGCAAAAAAGAAACTACCCAAGACTTGAGAGCAAATAATCTAGTTAGTCCCACATCACAACTTCGGTTGTGATCAGTTGGTTACCTCAAATGGCACTGGATTTGGCACCATGTTTTCCTCTAACTGTATTGCTTGGTTTTTCTCCTTTTCTAGCTGAGGAAATGACAGGCAGGGTCAGTGGTCCAAGTTCTCTGTGGGTCTTTTTTCATGTTAATTTTTTGAGATGGAGTCTCACTGTTGCCCAGGATGGAGGGCAGTGGGTTTAAGTGATTCTCCTGCCTCAGCGTCCCCAATAGCTGGGACTACAGGGCATGTGCCACCACACCTGGCTGTATTTTTTTTGTGTTTTTAATAGAGACAGGGTTTCGCCATATTGGCCAGGCTGGTCTCAAACTCCTGACTTCAAGCGGTCCGCCTGCCTTGCCCTCCCAAAGTGCTGGGATTGCAGGTGTGAGCCACCGTGCCCAGCTGTTTGCATCCAGGGAAAAGTCAGCCAGCACACTCAGGAAGTCAGTGTCACTCAGGGCTTTGTGAGTCACCCCAGTAAGCCAGGCCTCATAGAAATAAAGTGGCCGAGGAAAGGTGAAAGTGTGTTGCACTGGGAGGTAGAACTCCAGGGTCTGGGTCCTGGTTCTGTCCCATTCACTGGATGATCTTGGCTAAGACACATTTTCTCGGAGTCTGTCTATAAAATGGGCTAATACTCAACCTACTGCATGGAGTCACAGCAAGGAGTAAGTGAAATGACAAGGCAGAAGGAAACGCCGAATTTCCATTCAGAGGAATTACTATAGGCCTTAATCTGAATGAAATCTCCCATGAAAACACACAGGCCTGCTAAACAGAAGGGTAAATGTTTTGTTCTTCCGGCTTTAAGCAGTCATAGGAATGTGACAGACATTCCTCTTAGGGAGTGCCTCCTAGGGTTTCCTCATCTGTCTCACACTGAGTGGATGTAACGCTATTTTAATCCTGCTGTGGCCCCCAATTACTAGTACTTGTCCATACCTCCTTGCATTTCTAGCATCTGCTGTGTGGGGTTCTGTTAGGCTTTGGCATTCCCAGGAACTGGGGCTAAAGCTGCAGCTCTCTCTCCCCTCTAGGGATCGATAAAGTTTCACTGCAGAAAGTCTCCACTGCGCTATGCTGACATCTGCCCTGAACCTTCGCCCTACAGCGTTACAGGCTTTAATCAGATTCTGCTGGAAAGACACAGGTTGATCCACATGTGACCTCTTCTGCCTTCACTGGGCTGGGTGATCCTTGGTGCCTTTGTTTCCACAAGGCCTTTTCCTGCCAGCTGCCTTGCCAAAGACATTTAATCAGCACACAGCTGCCAGACTGTTCCCACAGTGCTCCAAATGCACATGAACAACAGTAACGGCTCCAGCCTTCAAGCCAGGGCCCCATGCCCAGTGCATCAGTGGGCCTGGGGCTCCAGGCTACATCAAGCACGGATGGTGTCAGGGCTGGTAGTTAGCAAACCAGGGTTAAGAAACATCAGGGCCACGTTTCACTACCTTCACAGATCATGCATTCACATTCCAGCAGCAGTCATGACTGACTGTCACTACAGTGGGGACCCCAGTTCCACATAAGCACTTTTGGAAGAAAACAACCAAAGTTGGCCTAAAATTGGCGCTGGAATTTGGGCTGGGGAAAATTTTGTGGTTATTTCCTTTAAAAAGGAACAAAACTTTAGTATTTAATAAGTTGATTTATTTAATGTAATTTCAAACAATTATGAATAATGCAATGTACGGTAGAATCACATCCTGATTTTATTTAGTAACACTGACCAAGTTTAACTCCATATGAAGTGTAAAGCTTGATACCATTTATGTCTATCAACTGTACCAAAAGTAAAACATTTAAAAACAACCATCTGAATGTCAAGTTTTTTCTCCATAAAGGACTTGCCACCTTAAGGTCCCCACGTCTGCCTGAAACATGAGCCACATCAATGCCGGTAAAGGCCTGTATAACCTAGTCTGCATCCTGGAAACCTCTTCTGCCTGGGGCCCCCCACACTAGCTGGTCTCCTGAGAGAGGGAGCAGGCAGGTTCTGGGAGTCAAGCACATGTTTGAGCAAGCAGCACAATAATCCATCTTAAGAATCCTCATTCTGGGATGGCTCCACAATTCCTAAACAGCAGTCTGCAAACTCCACAAACAAGGGCTCTTGCATGTAGGCTCTCATGAGCTTTGCTTTGTCTTCCCCCTGATCGAGGTTGACCATCAACTGCCTGAGGTGTGGATTGAGCAATAAGCTTCTTAATGTTGCAGATTTCCCTAAAAATTAACAAGAAAAAAAGCCAATCTGAGTTCAAGTGGGAAAACATGGAGATGGCTGAAAAGTGAAGAAATACTTCAAGTGTAATAAAACTTAGCCAGGCGTGGTGGCTCCTGTCTGTAATACCAGCAATTAGGGAGGTCAAGGTGGGCAAAATCGCTTGAGCTCAGAAGTTCAAGACCAGCCTGGGCAACATGGCGAGATACCACCTCTATAAAATGAAAGGTGAGATCAGCATATCAAACTATTTCCACATTAAATGCAGTAACAGATACTAGTTCTTGGTATCTTTGTAAATATTGTAACTTCGTGCCACTTCAGCTAAGAAAAAAATGCTTTATCAGCACAATCAAAAAGCTAATAATAGCATTAAGCTGCTGGCATGATTTCCTTCTAGCCATACAAGTTGCCAGTGGTGAAGACAGCTATACGAAATACTCTGATGTCTAGGCATGTGATTCGGCGTGCAGCAGGACCAGTAGCAGGGAACCAACAATAATACCTGCATGGTACTGTACAGTCTATAAAATTGTTCACACCTATTACTAGCTCAGCTCCAAACTCAGTCTAATCATAACCATAAGACTAAGTGCAAAGCATAACCTTTTAACATGATTCTGTGACATGGGAAGAATGAAATTAACACACCATACACATGTAACAATGTTTTAAGGACTGAATAAGCAGTGCTTGCTACAAAAATGGCAATACCTGTTTCCCCTTAAATCATGTGATAACCTGTTTGAGTTAAAGGCTGGACTGTGAACTGAGCACTGGGGATCTGGGAATACAGGTCCCTGCTGTACAAATCGGTATGTGAGAGATAAATTACCATAAAATGTAACAGTGATTTATTACTAGTAAGTCCAAGTTGCTATGGGAAACCAAAAAAGTGCCTAATTCTGAAAGAGACACAAAAGGTCAAGAAAAGCTTAGCTGAGCAAAGCAAACTTGAAACAAGCCTTGAAGGAGGAGCAAAATTTTGCCAACCTGCAAGACCAGCAGGATTCCAGGCAGAAGGAATGGTGTGGGCAGGCTGGGAGGTGTGACACCCTTATGTTTACAGAATTATGTTGCTAGATAGTAAGGGCCCTGCATGCCATACTTATTCAAGGATTTAATAACTTTAAAAAAAATCACAATCCTTATAACACAGTAAATGTATCTCAACCACTGACAAACAAGCACAGCACAGACTTACCTAAATTCTTTAAATTCTGCAAAGAAACTCTGTCTTCTTCCTCATCACTATTGAGAAAATCAGCTATAGAGTCATCATCATCTAAGGAATACAAAACAGTCAACGGCTCATGACTAAAAAGGAGGCCTGGGCACCAGATTTTAACAACTACTTCAACAGGATAAAAATGTATGCACACACATGTAATAGTGATAGGGGTATTCAAGCAGGTACAGACAAAAATCCTCTTCTCCGGAGTTTGTGACTATACTAACACTCCTTTTTTAGAAGAGGGAGGCTAAGTGAAAGAATTGGTGATTTTAACAAATGCACCCTAGTGTTCACATCCTTACTTGTATATGTGGTCCTGTGGTCTTTAGGCTTAGACCCTGGCTGTCTAATAACTTATTACCCATCCCCACCTCTACTTGGCTCCAACCCTGTGATGGGCCAATTAACTGGATGCTCTGTAAAAAACAGTCGAGCAGAATCTCCTGTGCTTTCAGCATGGGCAGAAACTGCTGGCATTGCCTGAACCCAACCTGGAAATTTCTCAAAGGGCAAAAATGGGCCATGCCTTTGGAGTGAATGTTCAATACCTCTTTGGTGGCACCAGAGGGGCTGCTTTCAGAGCCTGGCATGGTGCATAACACCCAGGAGGTAATAAAGAACATTTAGATGGCTGGACGGATAGGTCGACAGCCCACTACTGCTATGAGCTCTGAACCCCCAGCAGCAGCGAGATGATCTAGGACAAAGAAAGCCTCCTGCCTGGGCTGAGCTCAGGTGAACTGACAGCCCCAGCCAGATTCATGGAGGGAGACCAGCAGCTGTGGGCTAGAGAAGGCTCCTGCCAGCAGGGCCCACCACAAACCCCCAAACCACAGCCATGGCCTTTCTCATCTCTGTCTTCCGCCCATTTTTCTTCTCCTGAATACTGCTTTCAGGCTGTTGCCTCAACATCACCCATGATGACATAGCCCCACTCCTGATGCTCAGGGCTAAGAAAGCTGTTGTTTCCCAACGAAGCTCTTGTTCTGGATTCCCTGACCAGCTCCAGTCTCCCCTTTTCCTTCCTTTCAACTTTTTCTATGTGAAGTCCCTTGTAGATTTGTTTGAAGTCAACCAACCCACCTTTGTTTTCCACAGGCTTTATGGTTTTGGTAGGAAGAGCTGATCTTATTTTTTTCTCAACAGGACGAGCTTCAGGGTTGCACTGTTCTGAAAAAGACACAAATCCCAGGCCCACATTACCTCCATTTCAGCAACAAGGCTGCACCTCCCCACCAAGCTAGCATCTAGGTAGGAAGCAAGTGTCTGGGGTAAGGGATGTGGGTGGGTGCCCAGGAATATGGAAGAAGTGAGAGATCAAAGCAAGAGGGAGGTTAAGGAAAATTGCCAGCAGGCTGAGAAAGCAGGGCTCATTCATGCACCCCAAGAACTTGTCCCCATCCTCCCTACCCTGCCGAATCTTACAAGATTCTCACCACAATTAACTGGGGTGTTTGAAATAGCTGCTATAAACCAGATACCAGATGGGATAAAACTAGAGAAAAAACAACCAAAGAACTTACAAAGTCAACAGAAGGCCAGCTGTGCTGGCTCACATCTGTAATCCTAACACTCGGAGGCCAAGGTGGGAGGATCACTTGAGCCCAGGAGTTTGAGACCAGCCTAGACAACCTAGCAAGACTATGCCTCTACAAAAAATAAAAAAAATCATCCAAGCATGGTGGTGCATGCATGTGGTCTCAGCTACCTGGGAGGCTGAGGCAGGGAGATCACTTAAGCCCAGTATGTCAAGGCTGCAGTGAGCTGTGATTGTGCCACTGCACTCCAGCCTGGGTGACAGAGAATCAACAGAGCATGAAGTCACAGGAAAGGATTCTGAGGACATAAAGGCAGGACCAGATTGTAGAGACTTAAAATGTAGATTTGACAATATGCTACGGAAAGGTTCTGGTCAGGTAGGTGGCAGTTACAACAGCTGCCAGTGACTGAGTGCCAAGCACTGTGCCAGGTACACAGTGAGATACATAGTGGCTCAATGAACCTTTAGAAAGCCCCCATGACATGGAGACTATTAATTCCACTTACAGATGAAAGGATTAAATTTTCTTGTAATAAACTTGTCCGTTGGTGTCCACAGCTAGTAAGTAGCAGAGGCAGATTTTAGAATCCAGGTCTAACTTTACAGCTGTGCTATACGTGTAAGGAACACACCAGGAGGGACTGGAGAAGAGGTGAATTTTCTGAGTTGTACCTGATCCCAAAATACATTTGTGTCTAAGGGGCTCAAAAAGAGGCTGGAGCTAAAGATTTGCATGTCAGCAAGAAAAAAAAAAAAAAATTTAAAGTAAAAGAGAGACCACCTACCTAGGAATAAAAGTCAAGGACCAAATTTCAAGGGAGAGATCTAGCAAAAGGGAGGACTGGGCACAGTGGTTCCTGCCTGTAATCCCAGCAATTTGGGAGGTCGAGGCAGGAGGACTGCTTAAGCTCAGGAGTCTAAGACCAGCCTGGGCAAGACACTGAGATCCTGTCTCTACAAAAAATAGATAAAGTTTGTCTCCATTACTCAGGAGGCTAAGGTGGGAAGGCCACTTGGGCCCAAGAGGCCAAGGGTGCAATGAGCTGTGATCACGCCACTGCACTCCATCCTGGGCAAAAGAGCAAGACCCTGTCTCAAAAAGAAGAAACAAGGAGAATCTACAGCTATGCCACCCGGCATGCACCCTATCTCATCTGACCTCAGAGGCTAGAACAGGGTCAGGCCTGGTTAGGACTTCAAAGGGAGAAAGGGAGGAAAGAATACCACAGAGCGGTATCTTCCCAGCCTCCAAAGGAGAATATCAAGAAAGAAAAAGCCAAACACAGCAGATATTCATAGGAATCAAGAAAGATGACAGGCTAGACACGGGTAGCTCACGTCTGTAATCCCAACGCTTTGGGAGGCCAAAGTGGAAGGATCACTTGAGCCCAGGAATTCAAGACTAGCCCAGGCAATACAGTAAGACTTCATCTCCATAAAAATTAAAATTAAAAATAAATAAGCCAGGCATGGTGGCGCATGCCTGTAGTCCCAACTACTTGGGAGGCTGAGGTAGGAGGATTGCCTGTGCCCAGGAAGTCAAGGCTATAGTGAGCACCACTGCACTCCAGCCTGGGTGACAGAGCAAGACTGTTGCAAAAAAATAAAAATAAAAAGACAAATGAAAAGTGTACAACAGATGTGGCTATTAGAAATTTCTGATAAAAAATTATTCTTTATTAAATACTTTAACACTGCCTATAGCAGCAACAAAGGCAAAATTAAATATCCACCAATAAGAAAAATAAATATTAAAATGACCATACTACCCAAAGTAATCTACAGAGTCAATACAATCCCTATCAAAATACCAATGACACTGTTCACAGAAACTAAAAAAAAAAAATTCTAAAATAAATATGGAACCACAGAAGATCCCCAAGAGCCAAAGCAATCCTGAGCAAACAGAACAAGGCTGGAGGCATCACCACTACTTGGCCTCGAAATATACTACAAAGCTATAATATCTAAAACAGCATGGTACTAGCATAAAAATAGACACATAGATCAATGGAACAGAATAGAGAACCCAGATATAAATTTACAGCCAACTGACTTTTCACAAAGGCACCAAGACCATATACTGGGAAAAAAGCACTCTTCAATAAATGGTACTGGAAAAATAGGATACCTGTAAGGATAACCATATGCAGAAGAATGAAACTAGATCCTTATCTGTCACCATATATAAACATCAAAATGGATTAAAGACCTAAATGTAAGACCTGAAACTATGAAACTACTACAAGAAAACACAAGGGAAATGCTTCAGGACTTTGGTCTAGGCAAAGATCTTATGAATAAAATCTCAAAAACACAGGCAACAAAAGCAAAACTAGGCAAACGGAATTCTATTACACAAAAAAAGCTTCTGTACAACAAAGGAAACAACAGAGTGAAGAGACAACCTATAGGATGGGAGAAAATATTTGCAAAATATTCACTTGACAAACGGTTAATATCTAGAATACACAAGGAGCTCAACAGCAAAAAAAAAAAAAAAATTTAAGTGGACAAATCGGCCGGGCGTGGTGGCTCACACCTGTAATCCCAGCCCTTTGGGAGGCCAAGGCAGGTCAATCACCTGAGGTCAAGCGTTCAAGACCAGCCTGGCCAACATGGTGAAACCTCGTCTCTACTAAAAATACAAAAATCAGCCAGGAATAGTGGCAGGCACCTGTAATCCCAGCTACTCTGGAGGCTGAGACAGGAGAATCGCCTGAACCCCGGGAAGCGGAGGTTGCAGTAAGCAGAAATTGTGCCACTGTACTCCAGCCTGAGCGACAAGAGTGAGACTCCGTCTCAAAAAAAATAAAAATGGACAAATGGCCCGAACAGATACTTCTCAAAAGACGACATACAAATGGCCAACAAGTACATGAAAAAATGTTCAATATCACTAATCATTAGGGACATGCAAGTCAAGACCACAATGAGATATCATTTCACCAAAGTAAGAATGGCTATTATCAAAAAGAAAAAAAATAACATGTTGGCAAAGATGTGGAGAAAAGGGAAGTCCTATACACTGCACTGTTACTGGGAATGTAAATTGGTATAGTCATTATGGAAAACAGCATGGAGGTTCCTAAAAAAACTACGAATAGAACTACCATATGATCCAGAAATCCCACTACTGCGTATATATCCAAAGGAAATTAAATCAGTCTGCCGAAGAGATACCTGCACTCCCGTGTTTACTGCTAGTCCCAACAGTCAAGACATGGAATCAACCTAAGGATCCACCAACAGATGGATAAAGAAATGTGGTACATATACACACTGGATATTAGCCATAAAAAACCATGAAATCCTGTCACTTGCAGCAACGTGGATAAGACCAGATGACATCGTGTTAAGTGAAATAAGCCAGGCACAGAAAGATGTTCTTGTTAACATGTGGATGCTAAGCAAGTTGATTTCACAGAAGTAGAGAGTAGAATAGTGGTAACTAGAGGCTGGAAAGAGTAGAGGGTAGGGGGCTAGGGAGAAGCTGGCTAATCGATATAAAATTACAGCCAGATAGGAGGAGTAAGTTCTAGTGTTACACAGCACCTTAGTGTGACCATGCTGGCAGCAATTTATACTTTCAAATAGCTGAAGAGAGGATTGTGAATGTTCCCAACATGAAGAAATAATGATTATTTGGGGTGATGAACATGCTAACTACCCTATTTGATCCTTACACATTGTATACAGGTATTGAAATATCACATTGTAACTCATATTGTGTGCAATTATGTGTCAACTAAAAACAAATATTAAAAAGAAAAATCTACCAATAGGAAGCTTTATATAAATAATGGTCGTATCAACTATATAATGAGTCCTTTAAATCAGTGAGCTAGAACTTGTATGCACTAGTTTTTGTTTTTAATTTTTTTAATTTTTACTTTTTTTGAGACGGAGTCTCACTCTGTTGCCCAGCATGGAGTGCAGTGATGCAGTCTCGGCTCACTGCAACCTTCGTCTCCATGGTTTAAGCAATTCTCCTGCCTCCGTCTCTTGAGTAGCTGGGATCACAGGCGCGCGCCTCCACACCCAGCTCATTTTTGTTTTAGTAGAGATGTGGTTTCATCATGTTGGCCAGGCTGGTGTCAAACTCCTGACCTCAGGTGATCCACCCACCTTGGCCTCCCAAAGTGCTAGGATTACAGGCGTGAGCCATTGCGCTCGGCCTGTATGCACTACGTTTTGAAAAGTGCCCAACATATAAAATCAAATGAGGATGTTGAGTACAGTCTCACTGCTGAGATTCTAAAAGCTAAAAAAAAAGTTCGATATATTGGTACAAGAGTGGAAATAAGCTGAAAGAATCTACGTCAAACTTTTTTTTTTTTTTTTTTTGAGACAGTCTTGCTGTCTCCCAGTCTGGAATGCAGTGGTGCGATCTTGGCTCACTGCAGCCTTCTCCTTGCGGGCTCAAGCGATCTTCCCACCTCTGCCTCCTGAGTAGCTGGGACCACTGGCGCAGACCGCCACGCCTGGCTTTTTTTGTTTGTTTATACAGACAGGGTTTCACCATGTTGCCCAGACTGGTCTCAAACTCCTGAGCTCAAGTGATCCGCACACCTCAGCCTCCCAAAGTGCTGGGATTATAGGCGTGACCCACCGCGCCCCGCCTACATCAAACTTTTTTTTTTTTTTTTTTTTTTTCCAGACTGAGTCTCGCTCTGTCGCCCAGGCTGGAGTGCAGTGGTGCAATCTCGGCTCACTGCAACCTCCACCTCCCGGGTTCAAGCGATTCTCCTGCCTCAGCCTCCTGAGTAGCTGGCGCGCGCCACCATGCCCGGCTAATTTTTGTATTTTTAGTAGAGACGCGTTTTCACCATGTTGGCCAGGCTGGTCTCGAACTCCTGGGCTCAGGTGATCCACCCGCCTTGGCCTCTCAAAGTGCTGGGATCACAGGCGTGAGCCACCGCGCCTGGCCAGGTCACTTCTTTTTAACGGTACAAAAGTGTGTTCACATACACAGAACTTACTTGGTTCTTTTTTTCTCTTAACAAGTCAAGGACTTCTCCTTGTGTTGTACATGGACTTACCTCTTTGTTTCTAACAAGACATTATTTACACGAGTGAAAATATTGTTAAACTTGCGCAGTTTCAGCCAAAATGGTAAGGGGCTACACCAGAATACTGAGAAAGAAACTGCTAGGGTAGACCTCGGTGGGAAAAGCAATCGGTAACTATTTCTAAGTAAGAAGAGTAGCATGCAGAAGGAGGGGCGGGGTAGAAGAAAGGCTACTGACTGTTCAAAACCGTGAGAGCGATTACAGAGAGGGACAACAGAGGGAACTGTCCGACACACAGGGAGAGGCCTATGACACCAGGGACCAAGTCAGAGGAAGCGAGGTTCCTGCAGAACCCACTGAGACCCGAGGCGGAGAAAGAAGCGCAGCCCAAGGGTCCACGCCCCCAAGACGGAGGCTGGACGTGGGGGCTACCCCGCGCGAGGAGGGGGCCGAGGGCTGGCGGGGACGGGGACTCACCTTTGTGCTTCCGGAAGCAGGCTACAGAGCAGCTGTAACAACAGAAGCCACAGGCCGCGTCAGCCCCGAGGGCCCGCGGCCCCTCCAGCGGCCCGCCGGCTGCCGCCCGGCCTCCCGCCCTCCCGCCGTGGCCGGACACCCGCACCCCCAGACCCCGCGACCTCCCCGCTCACTAGGGCACGCGGCAGGCCGGACAGCGGTATTTGGGCTTCTCCAAGCAGATCACGCAGACGACGGTGCTACATCTGAGCGACGCCATGGTCTTAGCGAAGGAGACTGCTTCCCGCGCCGCCGCGCGCGCCTCTCACGCAGCCGCGCCCGCGTGCACGCCCCTTTTCCGTTTCCTAAACGAGGACCAATCAGCACTCAGCAGGCAGGCAAAAGCAATGGACCGATCCTGCTCACTGTTCCAGTCCTCGTAAGTAGAGCGTCGATATACTCGATGTGCATCTAGTAGCTGCTTCCCAGTTTTCCTTGATCACATCACAGCGTCGAAGAACTTGTGTAGCCCTGTCCCTGTCCCTGTGCGGCCGTGTGGCTTGGACCAAGTCATCGACACTGTCCAGGTGTGTTGCCCCGCATGTAAAAAAGAAAACAATGCATGGAAGTAAACGTCCTTTACTTTCTGGCTTGGACTTCCTGAATCTTGCAGGGACATTGGAGTTCGTCCGCCCATCTCATCTGCTTATTTTTGGCAAAGGACGAGTCCAGACACTGGGCGAACCAGAATCGGTTGGATCACGCAGTAGACAGGAACCTGCCCTTCCCAACCTAGGCCATTTTTCACTGGGGAAAGAAAGATGAGCCTGACCACTGGCAAATGTCTGAGCTCCAACTGTGAGCCCTTCAGTGCTGGGGACCCCCCGGGATCTTCTAATGAAGAAGTCGTCTTTGTCCTCTGGGAACTTAATGCTTAGAATGAAAGTAGGACAGGGAAACGGGGAGGAAAGAGACTCACTCTTAGAGTCCTGCCCTCGCTACCCTGCACCTGCACGCCCCTGAGAATGAGTGCTTCTTAAATTTTGCACTCTAGGCTCCTCACACCTCCCCCTAGTCTCGGAAGCTAATGACCAGGAAGCAGGCCAGTGACCACTGGCCCCAAGACGGGGATCCCAGACAGATGAGTCTGGACAGATGGGCTATGATGGGACTTGAATGCCACCACAAACTTTAGGTTTAGACAAAGTCATGTTTTTTTTTGTTTGTTTTTGTTTTTTTTTTAAGGAAATTTGCTTGCAGCTAGGCATGGCCCAGCCTTACCTTGGCTCCCATCCTACCTGCACTGGGCCCTCCCAGGGCCATAAATTGCCATCACCCCCAAGTGCCTCCTCTTCTGTGTTGGCTGTTCAGCCTTCAGGGTCCCTCTTCAATAAAGGTGTCTGCAGGGATGTATCTGCAAAATCCAAGGCAGTGGTTTGAACCTTGGCTCAACCCCCTCCCTGGCTGTGTGACCTGGCGGGGTTGGTTACCTGCTCTGAGTTCCCTTATCTATTAAAGTGGATGTTTGGGCCTACTTTCCTGAGCTGTTGTAAAGCAGAGAGGAGACCATGTACAAAAAGTTTTGTAATCTGAAGTGCTACATGATATCTAGAAAGAGTCTTAACTCTCATGGATCTCCATCTGGACCGCATGAATGAAGGTCTCAGGCCCCAAGCCACACCCCTCCAAAACAGTTCTGCCATCTGCTTCTTGAGTGAGAAGTGAGTAATGATCCTTCCTTTGGGCGTGGCAACCCAGTCCAGTCCTCAGTGCTGAAGCTGCTAGGCCCTCTATCCACCTGCATGTCCTACTTGCAGCTGCCCCAACCTCCAACCTCTGCCTGGGACCCAGCCTAGAATCCAAAACCGGTCCACACAGGCCTAGTAACTCGCAGCGCTCTCATATTGTTCAACAGTTATACCACTGATGATTTGAACTTGAAGCATCCCAGAAAGTCCAGAGAAGTCCTGGGAAGGCCAGAGAAGGCCAGTGACTTGTCCAGGGCCATATGTAAATCCTGTGCCAAGCCGGGCATCGTCGCACCAGCCTGTAGTCCCAGCTGCTTGGAAGGTTGAGGCAGGAGTTCAAGACTGCAGTGAGCTATGATTGTGCCACTGCGTTCCAGCCTGGGTGACAGAGAGAGAGACCCTGTCTTAAAGAAGAAAAATTTAGGCCAGGCACAGTGGCTCACACCTGTGATCCCAGCACTTTGGGTGGTCAAGGCAGGCAGATCACTTGAGGCCAGGAGTTCAAGACCAGCCTGGCCAACATAGCGAAACCTTGTCTCTACTAAAAATAGAAAAAATTAACTGGGTGTGGTGGTACATGCCTGTAATCCCAACTACGAGGGAGGCTGAGGCACAAGGATCGCCGGAATTCAAGAGGCAGAGATTGTAGTGAGCCAAGATCATGCCACTGCATTCCAGCCTGGGTGACAGAGCAAGACTCTGTCTCTAAAAATTAAAAAAAAAAAAAATTAATTTAATTTAATTTAATTTAATTTAAAATCCTGTGCCCAGCCAGGTAAGGGGGCTCACGCCAGTAATCCTAGCACTTTGGGAGGCCGAGGCAGGCACATGGCTTGAGCCCAGGAGTTCAGGACCAGCCTGGGCAACATGGCAAAAACCCATCTCTACCCAAAAAGATACAAAAATTAGCGGGGGTCCGTGGCATGAGTCTGTAATCCCAGCTACTGGGGAGGCTGAGGTGGGAGAATCGCTTGAGCCCAGGAGGCAGAGGTTACAGTGAGTGGAGATCATGCCAGTGCACTCCAGCCTGGGCAACAAGCAGGATCTTGTCTCAAAAGGAAGAGAAAGAGAGAGAGAGAAAAAAAAGATCCTGTGCACTCTCTGACATGGGTAGAAGTTTGCCCACTGTGGAGGACATCACCACTGCTGCTTGATTTGTCCTGTGATGTGTGTACCAAGGCTGAGGCCAGAGACAATCCTAACCATTTTCAGGGGCTCAATCCCTCCCACCCGCATCCAAACCACGCTGACCTGTGAGTGGAGAGATGATGACTCTAGCAAAAAAAAAAAAAAAGAAAAGAAAAGAAAAGAAAATTCGGCCGGGCGCGGTGGCTCACGCCTGTAATCCCAGCACTTTGGGAGGCTAAGGCGGACAGATCACCAGGTCAGGAGATCGAGACCATCCTGGCCAACATGGTGAACCCCGTCTCTACTAAAGTACAAAAAATTAGCCGGGCGTGGTGGGGGGCGCCTGCAGTCCCAGCTACTCAGGAGTCTGAGGCAGGGGAATCGCCTGAACCCGGGAGGCGGAGGTTGCAGTGAGCCCAGATCGCGCCACTGCATTCCAGCCTGGTGACAGAGCAAGATTCCATCTCAAAAAGAAAAGAAAATAAAATTTCTGGAATCCCTCCCATGCACATCCAAGCAGGGAAGAGGCCCCTCCTCCACTCTGGACATCTGGATGCCCCCAGCTTTCCCCGACCTTCGCACCCCTAGTCCTCTAATGTCTGGGAAAGGAGGTGGGCTCAGCCGCGATGGCGGTTAGGTGGTGGCACACTAAGAAACAGCGCATCTCCTCCGGGCAGTGGCCAGTTCAGACAAGAAAGGGGGCTCTGTGACCCCAGGCCCAGCAACTAGATGTCCACACTGACGTCCCCTCCAGACCCATCTTAATGGCCGCCCAGGGCTGTCTCGGGCCTCCTGGGCGTCAGCCTGGGGCGCAGTGCGGGCACTGGAGAGAGAGGCGTCGTTGTCGAGGTTTTCAGAGCTCTGCCTCCTGGCAGCGCTGTCCGGCGCGTTCGAGGCGAGTCCGGGCCAATCACAGGCTGGAGACGCGCAACGCCGCGCCGGGTCCCGCCAGAGGGCGCCGCAGGCCCGCACTGCCCGGGTGGAGCGCGCTCGCCCGGATTCCCGCGCAGCTCGCGCCCCGCCTGCGCCCCACCCCGTACGGGAGGCTCAGCGGTCTGGCAGCGCCGGGAAGAGCAAGTCCAGGCTCTGATACATACCTCGGACATCGCCAGGCGGCAGGAAAGTGCGTCGAGAAAGCGGGGGTGAAGCGGGAGACCCGACGCCCACGAGTGTTCCTACGGGAAAGCAGGGCCTGCGCTCACCGAGGGCTCCGCGTGCTGTCCAGGGGCGGTTCCCCGCGGTGACCACCGCCCAGCCCTTGCGGACAGCCCCGAGGGGCAGAGTGCCCGCTGACAGCTGGCCGCCCGCAGTAGCCTGGTTAAAGTTGAACCGCACTTCCATAACGTGTGGGTTGCTCGCCAGGTCGCGATCCACTGCCTTCCACCCTCCTGGCCTCCGGTGATGGGGCGGGCAGATCGGCCTAATCTCCCCCACGTGCTGTGTGGCCCTTGTTAGAGGCGGAGGTTGATAAGGGCGAGCCCTGCTAGATCTCAGCTCCTTTCCGCAGCTCTGACACTTGCATTCTCCCCCAGGGCACGGGTGAGCCAGGGCCAGCACCAGAAGTGACTATGATGGGCTCTTTAGGGACTGCTGCCACGTTCTCACCTGCGTGCCTCCGTTTCCCCTCTGGTATCTAAGAGAGAGTAGTTCAGGCGTTAAAGTGAGTTACGTTGCGAGTGGGAGTCAAATGAAGGAGGCCTGAGGTTCTGGTGGAGTGGGTGGGCCCAGAAATCGGTGTCCAACAACTCTGCGTATTATTTCCTACTCATGAAATTATATCCATCCTCCAACTCTAGACTAAATGACAGTATGACCTGCAGTTGGACTTCATGGAGAACTTCCAAAATACAAAAGGGATAGAAAACAATTGCATTATCCACAGTCCCAGAACTGTTGGGAGAGCACAGACAACAGGTCACCACTGCTCCCTGAACACACCCTACCAGCCACAACCCCACATTTTACTTTTCTCACGCTCATTCCCATTTGCAAATGCACATCGATCTTCCACCTGACATTCCCAAGGACACACAGAGATGTGAGGAGTCAGAGCTACCGAACCAGGTTCCCCAAGAAGCCTCTAAATGTGCCCTGTGGAGTGGGTGTGCAGCGCCAAGCTTTTCACAAACCGCTGAACCCATCTCCACCTCCCACATGGCAGCAGTGCATAAGAACTCTGCTCAGTGAGGGGCAGGGAAGAGGAAGTGAGACCCCAGGTTTATTTCCTTATCATTTAAAAATGATGACAAGAAATAGATTTTTTTAGACAAAATCCAACAGGATTCTTCACTAGCAGATCTACATTACAAGAAATGTTTAAGAAAGTTATTCAGACAAAAGGAAAATGACATGAGATGGAAATTTGGATCTGCACAAAGGAGCACCAAAAATTGTAAACATAGGTAAATTCAA